TGACCTATGTATAAAGCATGTGGCTGCAGTTGTAGACCGCGGTTAGCCAATGCGTGCAAATGCTATCCGAAAAGTTTGCCATTGAAATGCATACACACAATACCGGATGTAATTTCTTTTTCATTGCGGACCATTTTGAGCGTCGAATGATATGCATTTCGATCCTTCGTACGTGAATTCGAAACGGAGCCTGATTTGAGCAACTGACGGGAGTTGAAAATTTACAAAACAGATACGTTTTACAGATTTTCCTACATTATACTACAACGGAAGATTGAGGGTTCGAGTCCCTTCGTGGTCGCCAAATGTTACCCCCCCCCCCCCCAACGGCCACGGGAGCAGCCGCTGCAGAGTGTTCATTAAAAAGACTGCAAAACTGCAAGAATAAAGACAAATGGACACTGGTTTAGCTTGGTGTGTGGTAAATGTTCCTGACTCATCGAAGTCTTAAATCAGAATCACAACACAATAGTAAAAACAAATGCAAAAAATAACTCAATAAGGCCAACAAAAAAAAGTCTCCGGTTTCTGGTATGGAGCTTGCCCAAAAAGTGATGCGGCGACGCGGCTTTTTTTTTTTTTAACCTGACTTTTTTGCTTCAAATGTCGGCTGATGACTTCAAATGGTGCCCGAGTCCAGAGAGGCCACACAATGCTTATTCTCGATCATAACCCCATCTAAAATCACGTTTAAAGTGTGCAGCAGCAGGATTCCAGTCAAACCAGTGAGTTTGGCGGTTTTGAGACATCATCTTTCATTGAAAAAAAAACTTTTTCATTTTGCCGACGCGCATGGCTACGGCGACGCGCGCGCATACCAGAAACCGGAGACTTTTTGGGGGGCCTAAGCATGATTCGAAAATCGACTCTGGTATCGATAATAATATCGATTCTGTCCTGTTTCTGAATAAACATAATCGATTCTATCACCTAAATCGATACTGACCATGTCTCAACCTCACTTTTTATCTCTAGTCCAGGACTGACTCACTACTAATTGTTATGCATGAGTGCTTCCCATGCTGTGCACTAACTATCAAAGAACTCATGCACATGTACAATACATACATGTCATCTAGCAGTACAAAATGTCCTGAAGTACATGTATGGAATAAGCCAAAAAAGGGTAAAGTCTATCAGGCCAAAAAAAAGTCTCCGGTTTCTGGTATGGAGCTTGCCCAAAAAGTGGTGCGGCGACGCGGATTTATTATTTTTTTTACCTGTTTTTTTTTTTGGCTTCAAATGTCGGCTGATGACGGCAAATGGTGCCCGACTAAACTTAGAGTGCAAATATATGGGTGTCCAGAGAGGCCACATAAAGCTTATTCTCGATCATAACCCCATCTAAAAACACATTAAAATTGTGCAGGAGCAGGATTCCAGTCAAACCAGTGAGTTTTGCGGTTTTGAGACATCATCTTATATTAAAAAAAAAAAAAAAAAAAAAAATCATTTTGCCGACGCGCATGGCTACGGCGACGCGCGCGCATACCGGAAACCGGAGACTTGTTTGGGGCCTAATAGGGAAATCACTGTCGTCAATAAAATAAAATAAAAAGGAGTAAGCAAAGAAATTGTTCTTAATTATTCTGAACAATTTCAAGCGTGAAAGCTTGTCACAATGTCACTCTCCATAGAGTGGGACAATATAAAAGTTATAAATGGCACCGTCAAAACTAGCTCTGAAGAACCTGGCAACTTCAGTCTAGTATAAGCAAGTCAAAAGCTACTTAATATCTCTAGGAGCAATCTCGATTAAACCTGGGCGGAAAGTACTTTCTTGTAAGTACCAAGTTACAAAATAGTTGAAGGGAACGCCGTACCTTTCCAACTTATCTTTTCCATTAAAAGACAATCCAGAAATTAACAATGACTACACATAATTAGCAGGCAAAACAGGAAACATTTATGAAGGCAAAATTGAGTAAAGGCTAAAGTATTTGTCTATGTACTCTGGCACACTCTGACCGTGTGTTTTCTTAAAGACAAAGAAGCTAAGAGTTTAGCAGACTCTGGCATTACTTTTAACTAAACTTTACATTCTGACACAAAATGTACATGTTTCCTCTCTTCACTTCCATAATCTGTCATCAAGATAAAAATGAAAAAGAATACAACATACCTGCAAGAATACAGACGAATGGACACTGGTTTAGCTTGGTGTGGTGGTCAATGTTCCTCACTCATCGAAGTCTTAGATCAGAATGACCCAAGAACAAATTTAAAGACCATCACACAGCCCTCCAGTGCCCCACAGGAAGTGACATCATATCCTGCTACATGTACCCATAGCTGTTTCCTGTGAAGGTAGGGTATCTCACATGAAACAGTAATTGGTACACTGATAAACATTAAAAGCAAATGTGGTTCCACGAAAAGTGGGGGAGGCGGTACATTAAAAAAATGGGGGGGGGTCCCAATACTACAACACTATACTGTATTAACCAAAAAAAAAAGGGCGCTGCATTTATGAATAGGCTTTTAACGGCAATTTCAAATCTTGCAGGGTCGTGGTCGTGATGACTTGCAGGTCACAGGTCACGCAAAATCTATCCAATCAGAGCGTTAATTCGTCAGCCCTTCCCAGCGTCCTTTTTGCAGGGCGGGGGATACGAACGAACGTCGCAAAATGCAATCCGACCGTTCGTGATTCGAAAAGGAGCCTAAACAAGTGACAGGAATTGTAAATTTAAAACACAGATAAGTTTTACAGAATTTCCTACATTATTACGCTTTTCAACGAAAAAAAAATCTCCAAACTGGCATACTGAATCAGAATGTGAGGGCGATAGCGTTGCTGCTGGCAGCAGAATTTTTGTGCAGTAAATCACATAGCAAGGCCTGTCAGCGCCAGTGCGACATGGCTCTCATGTATCGCGGTCTAAAAGTACCTTAACATGGATGGATTTGGACAAACTGTAGCTTGCTGGAAAGCAGATGAATAGGCAAACAAGCTGACAAATCGGCAAGGCTTCAGATTTGAGACCTTTGGAGTGAGCGTCAGATGTAGGTACATGATGCCACTATTTTCGTTTTTGTGCAGTAAATCTCATAGCAAGGCCTGTCAGCGCCAGCCGACATGGCTCTCATGTATCGCGGTCTAAAGGTACCTTAAAATAGATCGATTTGGACAATATAGCTTGTTGGAAAGTGGATATATAGGCCAACAAGCTTTCAAATCGGCAAGGCTTCGGACTTGAAAGTCTCGGAGGAGGCGTCAGAATTATGTACATGTTGCCACTAGTTTCGTTTTTGTGCAGTAAATCTCATAGCAAGGCCTGTCAGCGCAAGCCGACATGGCTCTCACGTATCGCAGTCTAAAGGTACCTTAACATGGATGGATTTGGACAAATATGGCTTGTTGGAAAGTAGATGAATACGCCAACAAGCTGTCAAATCGGCAAGGCTTCAGACTTGAAACTTTTGGAGTGAGCGTCAGATGTAGGTACATGATGCCACTAATTTCGTTTTTGTGCAGTGAATCCCAAAGCAAGGCCTTTCAGCGGCAGCCGACATAGCTCTAATTAATGTATCGCGGTCTAAAGGTACCTTAACATGGATGCATTTTTTAAAGCAAAATAGGACACAATCAGATGATTCTGGAAAATTGCAGATTGTTAGGGCAAAACCCTGTATTTCTAGCAAAATTGGGCAAAAAGAAATGTTTATGAAAAATTTTAAATTTTAAGAGGTGTACCTTGTATATTTAGTAAAATTTGGCAAAATCAGATTTGTATGAAAAATCTGAAATGGTAAGGGGTTAACCTTGCTTTTTTAGCAAAATTTGGATTCGCTGAAAGTCTCTATTTTTCTTTTTAAGAAAGTCGAAATAGCTGAAGAGGGAGGTGAGAATCCATATGTGCCCAGATACAAAGAGTAGAAATCTACGCGTCTGCCTTTTGAAAATACACAATTGCGGTGTTCATTGTTGCGTAATGATCCGCCTAGCACACGACTGTTTTGCAAATTAGGCTGTGTTATGCAGCTTCCTAACAAACCAAACACACACTGTAAACCATGTGTTTAGGTTTAGAACACCTAAATAAACACTAATCTGTGACAGTTTTTAAACATGTGACGCAGTTTATCCAATGAACATGTTTAATTTGAAAACATATTTGGTGTTTAAAATCAGCACACTGACGGTGTTTAATCTTTAAACGGAACAGTGTTTAAAATATATACATCAAAGGCGTTTAACATTTAAATACTACTAACGTTTAAAAAGTAAACACACAGTCAAAAAGAAAACACGTCAATCTGTTGTAATTTTAAACATGTGACACGTTTATTGCCTGTGACAGATTTTAAACATGTGACGCCATTTATTATTATTTTCAAGTGTTTATATTCACAGTGTGTGTTTAGTTTTCGAACAGTATTCAAAATTGCAAGTAAAACTTCAGTCACAATATTAACAACATTGAAATAAACGCATTTAGGGCACTTCACAAAGCTGTCTTCATTTTCACCTATAGGATTGTGGTGAAAGGCCTATTCAGTTCTATCGAATCATGAAAATGGACACAATAAAATACAAATGTATTTTTATGGTCACCCCTAGAGAATATTGTACATCACGACAGCAAAAATAATGTGACATTTATGTGAATATGCCACATGCCTATCAGTATGTTTCCAACAATCCTTTTTTTAAGACCCCAACATTAAGACCAATTACATTTTTCACAAGTATCAAAACAAAGAAACAAAAACATAAACAAACACAAAAAGGGTGAATTTGAAGTAAATGAATATATCTGTATATAGGGCTAAAATCAATTATTTTCCAATTCAATGAATTATACTTGTTTTTTAAAACCTATGAAGGTTTGCGTTACAGTTTGAAGTATTGATCTTTAGCTGAGATTTCAACAATATATCTAATTAATTTATACACAAATACCTTGTAGTGAACTGCATCAATTTGCTGGAATCTGCCAGGAAAACTTTTCTTTAATTATGATTTTTTGAAAAGACGTGAAAATACTTTGGATAATCCAAATCAAAGGCATAGTTCCCCAAGCTGGAGAAGAAGCGCATCATTGTACGTGTTGTAGTTTGAGACTTTCTTGATGGTGTCTCCACATGTAATGTAAACTGTAGTTTTGATGCAGATACTCTGTCTGGTTCAGCAGCATTCTGTGGACATAAACAAGATTTCTGAGTGAGCCATACATAAACTGATCAACTTTGAAAGTGAAACCAAACTCACAGTAAAAAAAAAATAATGGAGACCCTAAAATGACAAGTCATTAATAAAGTTTACTCCAGGAAGAATATGAAAACTGATTACAAAATTGGGTTCAAAAGTAAATTGCACAATTGTCGGCCTTTTTGGGACCCACGTCAATATTAACCTTTGTTATCAGAGATAATGTGCACAAAGACTGTAAAGTTACAGCTTGAGCTTGATCGTGGATCAAATATTAAAAATAAAATCTGAAGAAAATAGGCAAGCTTTTCACAGTTTCGTACCAATAACTTTGCAGTCATGTAGGTATTTACGGAGACTTTCTATTTAAAATTGTATTTCAAAATTGTATTCACCTAGAATGTTATACTTTTTCATTTCATGATGTTTTACCGCCAGAGTAAATTTACAGTGGAAGTTGAAAGGTTCTTATGCAAGATAGAATCTCAGCCAAACATCATCATTCAATGAAATTGAAGATTTGAATAATATATTTTACAATACAAAATTACCTCATGAATAGTTAGCACTCTCCTCGTCTTCGTACCCTCGCCACGTTCAAACTTGGTGTTCTGCTGAACGTTCATGTATGCAATTACATCGAGCGTCTACAGAGGACCCTATATTCAAAACATAACACATGTTCTGTAAAACGAATGGTTTTGAATCCCTGTGAAATACTGCATTGTACCAAAAATTGGGGGATCATCTTTTATGTACACGCACTGCGGGTTTTTCAAAAGTTTTATACACAGCTGATCTTTACAATCACACACTGCACTGCCAAATGACGATCAATGCCAAAAGACACTTACCTTATTTAAAAGTCAATAGCTTCCTTCATCTGCAAGGGATAAGACACACCCTGAAAATATACAGAAAGAAAATATCAAAACAATATACGCCCATAACATCATGTGAAATGGAAATTATGGTTAAACAATTTGTACCTGACCTTACAAATACTAGAATTTTCTTTTCAAAATCATTCATGCTGGTCCCCTTCAGCTTACATAACTTAGGCAGTGGTGATAACACTAGCATGCTTTTATTGAATAGTTAAATCACGATTTCAAAAAAAAATCCACTTCACTGAATTTTCCAAGATTACAAACATTTTGACACTGCGTGTTTGCAATTGTAATTCGCCCCATAGGCTTAAAGCCTCATATTAAGTATACACTCAACATAGACCACCCCATAATGTGGCTCAAATACAGAACTTCCTTCATAATATTGTGAGCTGCACAGCAGTTATACTGTATAACAGCATCGTCATCCAAGAAAAATAATATGAGGAAATCAAAATCAGGGTTGTTTTTTCCCCTTCATATTCATGTTTTATCACACGATCCTTTGGCCAATAATTGCTCCCACTAATTCATCTCATCTCGTATTTCTAAATCTTTCATATTGTATATCGGGATTAATTAAATCAAACAACACAAAAGACAAAACTTACCACCTGTGTGGGAGCTTCCAGAACTGGTTCAAACTACAACCGTCGTACTGCATGCACAGAATACGTTGCATTTGAGTACTCTTGCTGACTTGGCAATATGCATACCAAACTTGACCTCTAGCCTAGGTCATGACCAACTGTTAGTGCCTTCTGTGAGACTACATCATACATGTATATTGTTTCATTACCCGTGCAAATTTTGTTACCACGAATGACGATAATAATTCTCGCCATTACATTATTCTATTAGTGTGCCCAGATTATTGTCACAAAAATGGCGGTTGTCTTTGTGCCGCGTAATTAACTGGCCCGATTATGCCGCGCCAGCACGCAATCAGATTTAATCCTATTGGTTAAGACCTAACATCACGTGGTCACATTTAAACATCGTGACGTGTACCGTGTTTATTAGGTGTTGAACACAAACAGCTAAATTAATAACTTGAGTTATTATTAGTGTCCTAATTAGTTAATAAGCCTTTTTTAAACAAAGTGTTATTCTTTGGGAATAAACAAAATGCTAACTAGTGAAATTGAACAGTTAAACCATTTTCTAAAACCGATCTCATAATAAACACCCTATAGCACTGTTGACATTAAACGCTAACTGTTTTGTTTAAAAACACATGATGTGTTTAATTTTGTCACATAGTGTTTAAATCTAAAACACTGCGTTTATTTTATAAACGTGTCACATGTTCTCGCGTTTTACAGTGCACTGGGCTCATTATATCGACTTGTTTTTACCCATTAAGGTAAAGCAAATGGACCCAGTAATCTTCCTGGCGCGTTTGCTCACCTATAAAGACAACTTTTCTCAGTTTAAGGAAAATTCTAAGGTAACGAAATGGCCAAGTGGTTACGATTCGTCGTCCACGGTTAGCGGGGTCCCTGGTTCGAATCCCGCTGGTGTCTTTTTGGTTTTTAACGAATAAGTTCAATTATTCACTATAAGAGATTTAATTTCCCGTCGTAAAGTACCAACATTACCTTAGCTTAATCGGTAAGCACTGCTGCTGGTACTGTCCGCGAGTTCCAGGTTGGCGCCTTCGTACAGGTTCAGGGCATGTGGTCCACTCGGAGGATCAGGGCTTAGGGGCCGCCCTGTTCCTCCCTTAGCTCTTTGCTTTTACATGGTGCCTGGCCCTCCGGGGTTATATGGATGGATAGGGAAGGAAGTGTGTATTGGTCGGGGACGCCGAGACCCCGGAAGAGAACTAAGGGATCGGCTGGGGCATTGTTATGGCTCAGACCGATCCCTGAAAGCTTGACTAGCACATAACTTTTTATTTTTTTTTACCCTCTATCTTTTATACTTTGGTTTAGTTTGATATCTACAGCTGCTCGGCAGGTCTACGGGTAGTATCAAAATTGAAACAAAGGTGTATGTCATAAATCAATGAATATTTCATAATTGACTATAATCAAAACGCAGTTTCGTTTAATCAATTTGACTATCATTATATAATGACGCGATTGCCAATTGACGTAAGAAACGCCATAAATTATACCGGGAAAGAATAAAGATGTACATTGTAGTATAAATATTATTTATACATCTTTCAAATAACGTGTCTTTAATTGTGAGCATTCCAAACAATACAGTAATTCGCAATAGTAATAGAATGGTATATGATAGCACGATCAATGCGTCTCTATTAAATTAAAAAAAAATATAATTTAGGCCCCTGTGTGTGAACTTCTTTGATTGACTATGAGCATTCCATACGAATGAGTTAATTCGCAAAATATAGCAACAACAAAAGAGAAAGGAAAAAGAGAAAATTCCTTTACCCTAAAAACTGGAAAAATAATTTGTTTTGAAAAAGTCAAATGGGACACTTCATGTATTGATTTAACAGTTTGCAAGGGGTTAACCTTAGATTTTAGCAAAATTGGGAAAAATCAGATGTTTCTGGAAAATTGCAGCTTGTAAGGGGTTAACCTTGCATTTTTAGTAAAAATGGGCAATATCAGATTTTTATGAAAAATTTCAAATTGTAAGGGGTGAACCTTGCATTTTTAGCAAAATTGGGCAAAATCAGATGTTTCTGGAAAATTTCAGATTGTAAGGGGTTAACATTGCTTTTTTTTAGTGATATACGGCAAATAAGATGTGAATGAAACATTTCAAATTGTAAGGGATTAACCTTGCTTTTTTAGTAAAATTGGGCAAATTTAAATGTTTATGAAAAATCTCAAATTGTAAGGGGTGAACCTTGCATTTTTTAGCAAAATAGGGCAAAATCAGGTGTTTATGAAAAATGTCAGATTGTAAGGGGTTCACCTTGCATTTTTAGCAAAATTGTGAAAAATCAGATTTGTATGAAAAATTAAAAATTGTAAGAGGTTAACCTTTGCCCAATTAGGGCAAAATCAGATGTTTCTGGAAAATTGCAGATTGAAAGGGGTTAACCTTGCATTTTAAGCAAAATTTGGCAATATCAGATTTTTATGAAAAGTCTCAAATTGTAAGGGGTAAACCTTGCATTTTTAGCAAAATTGGGCAAAATCAGATGTTAACCTTTGCCAAATTAGGGCACTAAAAAAGCAAGGTTAACCCCCTTACATCTGAAAATTTCAAATTGTTAGGGGTTAACCTTGCATTTTTTAGCAAAATAGGGCAAAACCAGGTGTTCCTGAAAAAAATCAGATTGTAAAGGGTTCACCTTGCATTTTTAGCAAAATTGGGAAAAATCAGATTTGTATGAAAAATCAAAAATTGTAAGGGGTTAACCTTTGCCAAATTAGGGCAAAATCAAATGTTTCTTGAAAATTGCAGATTGAAAGGGGTTAACCTTGCATTATACTTGGACGCAAATGAGATAAAGGGGAAACAAATAATCTTGGCTCTTTGCTGCAGCCAAAAGCAGCCATTTATTAGACTAAAACGCCTTGAGATAACCAAACGATGGACCATCACTATGGTCCCTTAAACTTGTTAGTGGGCACACCTGACCCAAACCAATTGGACCTTTACCTTGGTCATCTTTTTGTGGGCACACCTGACCCGAACCAGTTGGACCTTTACCTTGGTCATCTTTTGCGGGCACACCTGACCCAAACCAATTGGACCTTAACCTTGGTCATCTTTTTTAGCGGGCACACCTGACCCAAAACCATGGACGTTACTTTTGGTCCTAATTTTATTGTGTTTTTAATTGTGATATTAACACAGATGTGCTGTTCAATCGTCGTACGGCTGGATCGAACAATATTATCTCTCGTGGAACAGCAGGAGAGATTGCAAGTCTGTGTAATTCATAAATCTCTAATTAACATAAAACGTTATTAAACACTACATTCTACAAAAACAGTTTTTCAAAACAAAATACCATGGCTGTCTGAATCCCGCAAATAAGGCCGATGCATTCATTAAGGCGGAATGAAGGGGAGGAGGCGGGATGACGAAAAATAGAAGTTTTGGTCAGGTTTCTTGCTGAAAAGCTGCAACGCAATGATGGCCGCCAAGCCTCGTGGTCTTGGCTAAATACCCAGGCCATTGGACAGACCTTTCATCTGATTGGTCAGGGTAAGATATCATGAATCTTCATTGGTCAATCTAAACCTCACAATCTGCATATCAGCAAAACAAGACCATATTTGGTAAGGAATTTGTTTCCTTCGGTTTCTTGCGCAATTGGTCAACGCAACTTCTTCAGATTTCGCAACCAACTCGAGACAAAGGCTGAACGTTGTTTGTTGCGCAACTCAAAAACGACATAAAAACTTAAAGTGCACCAAGTATAACGCATTTTATCTTTTAGAGACAAAATCAGATGTTTCTGAAAAAAATTCCAATGTAAGGAATTAACCTTACTTTTTTTAGTGAAATTTTGTAAAAATTTGATGTTGATGGAAAATTTCAAATTGTAAGGTGTTAACCTTGCTTTTTTAGTAAAATTGGGAAAATTTAAATGTTTATGAAAAATTTCAAATTGTCATTGGTTAACCTTGCATTTTTAGCAAAATAGGGCAAAATCAGGTGTTTATGGAAAATTTCAGATTGTAAGGGGTTAACTTTGCAGTTTTAGCAAAATTGGGCAAAATCAGATTTGTATGAAGAATCAAAAATTGTAAGGGGTTAACGTTGCCAAATTAGGGCAAAATCAGATGTTTCTTGAAAATTGAAGATTGTAAGGGGTTAACTTGGCATTTTTAGCATAACTGGGCAATATCAGATTTATATGAAAAAAAATCTCAAATTCTAGGGGGTGAACCTTGTATTTTTAGCGGAAACTTTACATCTGAATTTATAGAAGCATCTGATTCTGCCCAATTTTAGTAAAATATGCTCCAAATTTTGCTAAAAAGCAGGGGTTAACCCCTTACCATTTAAGATTTTTCATACAAATCTGATTTTGCCAAATTTTACTAAATATACAAGGTACACTTCTTACAGTTTAAAATTTTTAATAAACATTTCTTTTTTGCCCAATTTTGCTAGAAATACAAGGTTATGCCCTAACAATCTGCAATTTTCCAGAATCATCTGATTGTGTCCTATTTTGCTAAAAAAATGCAAGGTTAACCCCTTACAATTTGAATTTTTTTCATGAACATCTAATGTTTCCCAATCTTATTCAAAAAGCAAGGTTAACCCCTTACAATCTGCAATTTTCCAGAAACATCAGATTTTTTTCCCAAATTTCATCCGATTGTGTCCTATTTTGCTAAAAAAATGCAAGGTTAACCCCTTACAATTTGAATTTTTTTTCATGAACATCTAATTTTTCCCAATCTTATTCAAAAAGCAAGGTTTACCCCTTAGAATCTGCAATTTTCCAGAAACATCAGATTTTTTCCCCAATTTCGCTTAAAAAATGCTAGGTTAACCCTTTATAATTTGAAATTTTCCATAAACATCTAACTTTACCAAATTTCACTAAAAAAGCAAGGATAATCCCTTACATCTGAAATTTTCCAGAAACATTTGATTTTGCCCAATTTTGCTAAAATGCAAGGTTAACCCCTAACAATTTGAAATTTTCCATAAACATCTGATTTTGCCCTGTTTTGCTAAAAAAAAAATGCAATCTTAACCCCTTACAATTTGAAATTTTTCATAAACACCAAATTTTACCAAATTTCACTTAAGAAAAGGGTAAGGTTAATTCCTTACATCTGAATTTTTTTTCAAAAACATCTGATTTTGCCCAATTTTGCTAATATATGCAAGGTTCACCCCTTACAATATGAGATTTTTCATAAAAATCTCATTTTGACCAATTTTGCTTAAAATGCAAGGTTAACCCCTTTCA